TTTTTAACACCCTTTAATTTCTTCTCCCAGAAAAATAAATTTCTCCCTCATTTTGGGTTTTTCTTTTCTCCTAATTTTCTTGGGGTTGTTTTGTTTTTTAAAACAATTTTTTGGGTTTATTTTATTATAAAAAACTCAGGAAAATCAATTAATCAAATCAAAAGGTATGTACTCTTCTTTCTCTCTCTTATGATTTTGCTCACTTCACTTTAGCTCATGATTAGAGTTATAATCTTTAGATTAGCAACATTTAATCATCATTTTTGTTTGATTTTGTTTTTTATTTGAACCCCATTTGTTGTATTTAGTGATTTTTAGTGGTACTTTGTATGTTTTTATCTTGATCGGTTGTTGAACTAATGGATGCAGTTGTATGGGTGATTTTCATGTTTTTTCTAGAATTTTTGGGAATATTGGAATTTTTTTTTTCTGGTAATAATTAGTACCTTGGAAAATGTGATAATCTGGACAACAAATTCAATGATCTATTTTTTGTTCTTCATTATGGGTTTTCATCTAATTTTATCTGCATTTGCTTGATTTTTTCTGGGTTTCTCTAATTTTTTCCTCCTATTTTGAGTTCCTAGATTTGCATGTTATTTTCCCCCCCTTTTAATGCTGTTATTTATTTTTGGAATTTTATTTTTCTGGGTTTGACGATATATGTATTGCTTAAGACGAAGTATGAATTTTTTACCCAATTGTTGATATGATTTTCTGTGAATTATTATACAGATTTTGGGAATTTATATGGTAATGTTGAAGAAGAGGAGTAGATCAATTCAGCAAGAACAACAAATAATGGGGGGTCAAATAACATCAGATGGAGGTTCTGAAACTTGTTTACAGTCTGATTTTTTAGGGCAAAGACAAAAGACCAACTCTTTTTTTAATGTTCCTGGTCTATTTGTAGGATTAACCCCAAAAGTTGCTTCAGATTGTGACTCAGTTAGAAGCCCAACTTCACCTCTTGATTTTAAGCTGTTCTGTAATTTGGGCACTTGTTTTAGGTTCCCTAAATCCTCTTTAGAAGTGCACCAAAAGTGTTGGGAATGTCACAAAGTTGGACTTGGAAGCATTGTGGATTCACTTGATGATGATGACAGGAACTTAACTGAGAAGGATAAAGTTATGCCTTCATCTAATAGTAAGACTATACTGTTTGGGTCTCAGATTAGGAGTAAAGGAGCCCCAAACTCGCCCACCAATCGTGTCGATTTTTGTGAGTCGTTGCCCAAGTCTTTGCCGAAAAACTATGCAGTTTTCTCCCATGCTAGGTTGATGAAGCCTTCTAATCTTCAGAAGGGTAGCTCTGATGTTTTATTTGAGATTGGAGGGGACCCTTTAGAGTCTGACCCTTTTGGGAAGATCCAGTCTTTTTCTTTGGATTCTAAGAGGCTAGGGGCAGAGATGTATAGGCTGAAGTCTCGTAATGTAGAGTCGAGGACCAAGCGTTCTTGTTTTGAGAACGAGACAATGGAGAAGAGTTTGAGTTTTGACTGGATTGGAGGAGGTCTGGATGCCGAGAATAAGCTGACTACAGGTCCAATGGCGATTCCTTCTTGCAATGAGATGGCTCGTTCTCTTACCCCTGAAGAGATTGAGCTCTCAGAGGACTATACATGTGTGATTTCACATGGTCCCAATCCCAGAACTACTCATATTTTTGGTGACTTTGTTTTGAAAAGTCACCCCAATGAAATTGATCCTGAAAATAAGAAAGAAAGTTTAGAGACCAAAACGCCTTCTATGGAAAACTGTTTGCAGATATCTGCACCATCACCATACCCTTCGAACGATTTCTTGAGCTGCTGCTACTTTTGCAAGAAGAAGCTGGAAGAGGGTAAAGACATATATATGTATAGGTTCGTCTGAGTACCTTACTTTCAGCTAACCTTCTAGTTGTTGAGTTGTGATTATCCTGTCATTGCAGCATCTCTAAACTGTGTGTTTAACTTTGTTGCAGAGGTGAGAAAGCTTTCTGCAGCTGGGATTGCCGTTTAGAGGAGATCTCCAATGAGGAGGAGCAAGAGAAATCTATCACCGGAGATTCTCCCAAAGCAGAAATTGGTGACGACGTTTTTGAGAAAAGCATGTTCGTTGCTATATAGAGAAATTATTAATTGCTTTCCTTGAAGTCATTATGCCCATGATTGATGAAACTGCCAATGTTTGATCATCTGATAATAAAGAGCTGTGTCTTTTGTATATCTATAAGCAGCCTCGGGTGTTCACTGTATGGCGTGTTAGTAGAACCTTTTGTTGCAATTCATCTCTCATGGTTCTAATGACTCTTTGATAGCTAATCGGCTAGATCCTATAATTTTGACCGTAGTTATTAAAGCCGGGAATGGCTTCTTTTGCCATTTCTGCTTATATCTTCTCCTGGCTTCTCCAGGAACTGTGAAAAACCCAAAAAAAAGAAGTGTTTTTTTGTTCCTTCTTTTTTATTCACCATTTTGAAAGGAGTTGATGTATAAGCCTCCCATATGGACAAATTATTGAGATTATTATATAGTATTTTGGATATAAACCTTGATCATTTTGCTGGATATGATTCATATATAATTACAGATTGTTGCTTGACGCACATTATCATGAATATCATATCTTATATCTTTGTCTCACGGTTGAGGCCTCGTGTGAATGTCCCAGGAATTGCATATCTGCATCTTATTAACAGAGATGCATAACATAGGGCTTCAGCTAGTAAATCCGGTTGTTTTCCGAGCAGCCTTCAGATCTAACTGGTTTTCAGTTTCTGTTTTCCCAGTTATTACAGCTTTTGGTTTCAAAGATTGTGTTCATGACCCTAATTCTTCGATGACCAGGTTTACTCGATAGTTTAGTCTCCATTAGCATATACATGTAATGTTGCGTTACACCCGGTCCATAGCTGAAGAAAAGAAGTAGCTTGCTAAAGACTTGATCAAAAACTGCATCAGCAAAGGGTTGTTGAGAGATTCTTATTACCCAACCCTGTATTTTTCATTAATTTCAAATCAATCTTTTTCTTGTTGTTGAATTATTTGCTTTACACTTTATTTGATACAAAAGTTGAGCAAATTTAAGATTTTTCTTGGCATTTTTAGTGTAGGTGGGGGAATCAGGGTAGTACAGTTTGTCAGTTGTGAATTAATATGTATGACAGAAAATGCATACTTTCATGACCATGCAATTCATTGTAAAATCTAGGACATAAAATATTGATGCAATTTGCAATGATTCTCACTTCTTTAACACTAAGCTGTAGCAGAAGCTTATAGTAGTAGACAGTGTTTCCCACTCATTTTGTAGTTTTCCCAGGTTAGTAATGTCTGATCAAGGTTAACACTTAACACATAACACTATTTGGTAACGATATCGAGATGATAAACAACCGTTTAGAAGTCGTATTACCATCAACCAAGAGATTCTTAGAGCAAAATTACATACATAATAATTACTATTACTGCATTTGGTATCGTCTATCTAATTAACTATCCTTGTTCGTTGAAGAACTGTTTAAAAGTATTGTCATGAACATTGAGACTTTCCGAGCAAAACTACATTCAAAGCCATTACTAGTACTGCATTTACTATCGCAATTCTATTTGATGTTTCTTGTTTGTTGAGGATACAACCATTTAGATGTCGTATTACTATGAACATTAAGATATTCCGAGCAAAATTACATACAAAACCATTACTACTAGTGCATTTATTATGCCTACTTAATTGACCATCCTTGTTGAAAAACTGTATATAAGTTTTACCACGGACATTGAGATTTTCCAAACAAAACTAAATAAATCATTATTATTATTGCCTATCTAACTGACCATCCTTATTCGTTCAAGTTAAACTACGGAGTACCATTTAGAAGTCATATTACTATGAACATTAAGATTTTCTAAGCAAAATCATATCGAAAATCATTATTAATACTACATATATTATTTTCTATCTAACTGACCATCCTTGTTCATTGAAGGATCAGTGTATTGGTTATTGTCCACATCATCTCCTCTCCCCTTTGAGATTTATTAAACAAAATTACGTATGAAGGCATTACTATGAACATCAAAATGTTTTAGTATGGACTATGGAGTACTAAACAATGGAAAAACAAAATTTCTACTCTTTAAAATATAATAGAGAAAATTAGTCATAAGCTCATAACGTCAGTAATAGAACCTTGTTATAGGGAATTTCCTGTAGTTTGGGCTTCACGTGCAACCTCGTTCTATGTTTTGCAAGTCTTGCAACATATATTTTTTTTTTATATATATTTTTTTAATAATATAAGATGGTCCGTCGTATGCTAAATGTATGCATTTAAACAGAATTTTTTTTTTGAAAAAAAATTATTTATTTATTTTATATAAATTTAAACAGAGTTACCTTTGACAATCACAATAAATACTACCTCCGTTACATATTAGTTGCAACTTTGGAATATTTTATCTCTTACAAATAATACCCAAAGTTGCAACTAATATGTAACAGAGGTAGTAATTTCTTGGTAAAATGCTGTTTTCACTTTACCCCCAAAAAATATAAAAAAAATAAAAATAAATTGTTGGTGACATACTGACATTTAGTAGCAGTAGTTTTCTTTTCTTGTAAAGGGGTGTTTTCTTAACTTGTAAGTGTTCTATTTTTCTTCTAAAGATTTGAGACAAGCATATTTGTGTGTTACAAGCAATTTATAGAGGTGAGATTATGACATGAAACCATATAAGTTCAGCAAGCATGCCCTCAAAAATAAGTTCACATTTTCGACACAGGTTTCTTTGTTAAAACGCGATCAAAGTTAATCATTAGTTAACTTCTGTAAAATGATCTAATCTTGGTGTTTTGGATTAATTCTTTCTCCATGAACCAACCACCTTTTAATCATGTGAGAGGTGTTGCAGAAAAGAGCAGTAAGAAGTACTATGTTTGTTCAGATGTACTAGTAAATAGATGGCACCCTCTGTCTGAGGTGTTTTTCGGTGTATTTTCCAAAAGCAACCAGATGAAAGTATTTCTCAGGCGAAATTTTAACTGAGACAATTTCTCTATATTATGATTTTAAAGATTTAAGTTCAATCCAAGGAGATAGTAAACCTGAAATCAAAGCAAATTGAGCTCAACAGTATCTGGAGCTCTGCTGTATACAAGATACAACACATTGAATCATACAAAAGACCAGACATAAACTTAAATAATACAGTTTGTACTAGGCGGAAGGTGACAAAATTGCAGCTACTCGAAGGCCTCAACCGAGCTTTGGTCAAATAGTTCGCGAAGTTCCCATTCCAAACATCAATCATGCACCCAGTTGAGTCCGGAGTCAAACAAGGGGTTAAGGCGCTGATAAATCCATCGGAAGAAATCATATGGTACTCAACAAAAGCCACATTTTAACCTAATTGACGAGAGTTGTAAGATTTACAGTTCGGGCACTTTTGAGCCACGATATGGTACTGAACGCAAGATTTTGACCCACAGTCATTGCAAAGAATAGAGACCTGCATAAGAAATTTATGGTTAGCTATTAGAGAAGCAAATCTTGAACCTAACAAATTCGTACGGTAACCAGGAAAAGATATGCTTCTAAATCAGGATTAAGTCATATCTTCCAGGCTGCCACATGATTATAGGTAGCAAAGACAACTAATTACTCACCATCTTATTCTGGTAAGGTTCTGGCATTGGAGTTGCGGCAATTTCCATGTCAAATTTCTCCCACACCTTAGACATGTCACAAACCGATTTTGAGCATAGGGGGCAAGCATACCTGCAAGATGAAATCATACAATGGTCCATTTAACAGGCCATTCCATACAAACTGCAATTACACAAATACGTAAAGCATTGGAACCAAAAAACTCACTGATAGTGCTCCTTCATTTCATCCAAGCAGTTTTTGTGGATTGTGTGTCCACATGGCAATACAGTGATATCATATCTGGACTCAAACAAATACTGAAACCAGAATAATATTAATATATTATTAGCTTCCGAGTAATTCATATAACGCAAATAACTCCATAAAAGTGCTAGAAAACAGGTGGTCCATATACCATACCTCAAAGCACACGGGACAGTCATGATGCATTGCCCCCTCTACACAAGGATGGCTATTTTTCAAGACCTTGGAGTAGCAGCAACCGCATTTGTAACAGTGAAAGAAATTTTCTCGTCCTCCAATTCTGTACAAAGTCAAAACTTGTTATAAGCCTGCTCAAGACAATCATCACAGTGCATACAAGTAACACCAGGGGCATTAATAACAATGCTCCTAATGATATATAAATGGGAACTAATCATCACATTTCCCAATGGCATTGAGATTTCTGAGATCTTTAAAGAGTTTGAGTGATGTAAGATAATAAGAGATCAATCAATGTGAGACATTTCAAATTGGAAAGGGGAACAAATTAAGTAGGGACGGAATGAGTAAAGCAAGCTATGGAACTAATATTCAGCAAAGAATGCAAATCTATATCAATTAAACTCATACCTGCAGATTCCACACCCTTCACAGTGGTACTGCTTCTTACATACCTGCAAAATCACCAAAACTATGAGTTACGGAAACACATTACAGGGCTAAAGTGGCAAATCTCTATCACATATAGTTTCCATTTATTAAACTGAGACCATAGCTTGAAATCATCCACACTCATACAGCTCCTTGTTTTCGACTGTATTAATTATAACATACAATCTTTCTATGGCTTCTTAAAATCCAGCTTCAAATGTTTAACATATTACAATTTGTAGTTATTGATTCAGCTTGACTTGAAACTTGAAAGCAAAGATTTATGCTATCCAAATTACACGACAAAGAATTTTGTGAAAGATATTCTGCAGAAGCGCAGAAGCCTGGTACTCTGAAGAAAAAAGCTACTTACATCATCATCATATAGCTTGCATGTCTCGCAAAAATATTTTCCCATGCAAACACCACAATTGATACACACTTGTTGAACCTAGATAGACATCATCCAACAACATTAAAATCCAATCAAAGTCAACATCTTGAACCATTAGAGGCTTCACAATTGGGCCAGAAACTCAAAAATTAGAGATCAGACAAACCTCTTGTTCAGTACCACAAAGAGAGCAGATCACCTATGTAAACATAGTAGGAAGACAAGGTCAGTCAATAAAACATTGAATAACAACACTAACTCAAATATGAACTCCTATTAGCATACATTTTCATAAACCTTTACCTGCTGAACTTGACGTCGAGGAATGTCATGCCTCTTTGTCTTTTCAAGCTTGATGCTGTTCTGCATATCAATAAGACATAAGAATAAGTCAAGCAAAACAGGGAGAAAAATAAATGCCTCAGCTCGGTATATTGTTCTGCATATCAATAGGATATATGTAAAATCATGCAAAATAGGAAACAGTTGACGGGGTAGTCCGGAATCCTGGCTAGGTGCTGTGGTCAAAGTTCATAAACACACAATGAAAATTATCCTTGCAGACTTCATAAACTCAAATAACAATAAGATACTTGTATTTACATCCATCCCAATATTAACTTCACACTTGACATAGAGATTAAGAATAAGTATAACAAATATTTTGGAAGTAGAAAGAGAAATGTACAATAAAGTGTTATGAGAGAGAAAAAGCATTGATGGATCAAAGAGAGAAACAGGAAGAATACTCCATAACAATTGATATTGAAATTTACATTACATGGTGGAAATTACTTTAATAGACAGCCACAATAGTAAAATTTTGTAAGGGAAGTCTGGTGCCAATTTCTCTTTTCCATCACAAATTTGAAATTTCTATAAAAACCATAGCCACTTTAGAAGCAGAGAAAACCATATATTTGAGAATTAAGTTCCACCATATAAAATGGCATGGAAATTTGAAAAGGACATAGTATTAACTTATTATTAAAAAAATAAAAAAAAAATAAAAATAAAAAAACCATTTATTACAGCCTACCACAAGGTTCCTATGTGTTATGGTGAGTATTTACCTACAAGACGAAACAAGATGCTTTCTATAAACATCAAATAGAAGTGATAGAACCCTGCCTAATCAGAAAGTACCTCCCTGACTAATGGAAAAGGGTGCCAATAAGGCTATAACTCAGGTAAAGGTCAAAATATCAGCCTACACTTCAAGATTCAATAGCAAATCACAACCAAGAGAAATGAGGCAAGCTAGCATATGCCAAATTATGCAAAGCTCATTAAATTAACCTAACGTTAGTTTCTGTCAGTGTAAAATGTGATGAAACACAGGCTATATATTCATCAAGAACCAAAATTAGAGTGAGAGAACAAGCTCTAATTAATAACTCCAAGAAACTACCAATCTTCCTAGTAGGAAAGGTCATTCACCAATTTAAAACATTGTTGAATGTAAATTAGCTTTGGAAGTGTATGCCTACAGGTCACAAACCCATCAGCAATTCAATCTCAAGGAAGAAATAAGGGTGACAATATAACAGGTGTGGATTGTGGAATATGTAATCATGGGTGGCTATAAAATGCATCCCCAAATATCCTACCAAGGCATAATATTGAAAACTAAAAAGCTACACAATCAATATATAATATCATTGTCTTACCATCGCTTCATTATGACAATGGCGGCAGTCAAACACCTCATTACAACAAGGTGCTCTAATTCGACATCTTCGCCGATAATGCTGACATCTGCAATGAAAATATATCACTGTAATGGACTAGAGATTTTGTCTAACGGGAAACTAGATTAAAGGGCCCCTGAGAACAATAAATAGCACATTACATACCCATACTCCATGTAGCCCCTATCTAGCACAGTGTCTGCACAATAGGAGGCATCCGCAGAGACTTTTCTGTCTGAGTGCGACTTCATAGACTCGTACTCCTTCATGATTGCTCCCATGATGAATCTTAGAGTCACTAAGCTGCTTAAAGCAAGCTAAAATACCTGCATTGAGAGTATCATTTAGGACTAATCCTACAACCCAAAAAGGCACACTAAGCATCCAAGGCACCCAGGTAAATATCCTTGATTTCTTCTACACTGCTGCAGAGCAATGACATCAGCAAGAAGATAATTGAAGCAAGGCTGCACAGCTCCAATCGTCACAACTGCCAGAAGAGAGCAGATCAAAAAAGAAGATCTAAATATATCCCACTACAAACTAGAATATACAGCAATCAGGAACTCCACAGCTTCTTGGTTTTGTAGAAATCAACAGTGATGCAAGATCTCTTGATGCCTTGAAGGTCCAAAACGAGTCCAACTAAATTGGAGATGAACAATACAAGCCTCAACCTATGGTAAGAGCAGTAGATCACACAAATCAATTCTCGTCTAAAACGAAACAACCATACAGGGAGAATGTGTGAGAGTTGTGTGTTGATGGTCCATCAACATGCCTACCTTGATTCATGACTTCCGATGAAAACACCTTTAAGTTCCTTAAATTACCCTGATTACTAATACTTGATCTTCATGAACTCCACTTTTTGGAAATTGGAACAATAATCTATTACATATCATGCAATATCGGGGCCTCCTCTATTTTCATCCCTAGGGCAGAAATTTAAAACCTAACAGAAACTACTTGAGTAGCCTGCACCCTAATGTGATATAATTCAGCTTGTCGCCCCATGCTCCGAAGTACCTTCTGTGAGACCATTCTGACAATTGGTATTCAGTTGCCTAGGGATTTAAGAGTCCTTCAAAGGCATCAAAACACAGCGTATTCTAAGTCTTTCTAATGGTTCAAGACTTTTAGATAAAGTACCAAAGAATCCTCGGCCATTGACGGGTGAAAATTATATCCAGAAATGGTACGGCAGGGTCAAAAGCCAGACTAACAAAAGACTCAGATTAATAACCTACAAAGTAAAGACAAACAACAGACGGTGCTTCAAAGTATACGAGAGACTGATGACTGCAGAAGGTGACTTGAAGAGTTATAGGGAAATGGCCTTATGGGTTATTTCTCAAGAGCCCTGAAATCTTACTGTACAAAGTTAAATGCCTTATATTCACATAATCAGGCGAAATCCTACAGTATCACCTGAAGTTAGCAATCCTTTCCAATCTAAAATCAGAGTTACGCATCGTGGTTACACAGCCTGTAAGTCCAACAGCCAATGATAGAATTGCAGCTTCATAGTTCTTATGAAACTGAGCAGAGACACTATGGTTATATCTCACAGACAGTGTAATTTGTCTCTCATGAACTCACTCATTTTACAATACGAAATCGAAGAATCTATCCAACATACGCAATCAAAACCCGCTGTAACTACGATTAGAAACCCCATTTGGCATTTGAACCATCCCTCAACGATTTTCACCCCCTCCTCCCAAAACCCTCCACCAATATACATCAGAGGAGAGTTCATCACATCTACAAACATGGAAGAAAGGCCATCCATGTCTCACATACGACGAACAATAAATTGGGCATGCCAATTGTATAATACACATCACAATAGCATGCACAATAGGAAGTTTATACAGTATTAAACAAAAGCTTCAATTACTAATGGAGCTGCAGCCATTTCAAATGCTTACATAATAAATAATTGCAGATAAGCAGATCAACAAAAAGAAAATCACAGCAAAAGCAAACACCAACAAATTAAATAAATTTAACCCATCAATAAAAAGACAATCAACACAATATAAAGTTATAATTCACAAACCTAAGCTAAAATATTCATCTTTATGTCTTAATTAAGCAACCCTAATTTCCAGAAAGCAATCATAATAACCAAATTAATTCCATATATTGTCATTAACAAACCCTAAATCACGCTATTTCCTAGCACAAACTGTTTCCCACAACTTGTAATCTTCTGTATAATCCAAAACCTAAAAATTTCAATAATTTATCATATAGAACTAAATCCTAATAAAAAAATCAATCTTTGATCAAAAACCACTAAACCTACCTTTTCTCAGCTAATTCAAGCACAAATCAAACCCCAATTCGATTCAATCAGATGGGAAATTAAAGCAACGATTAAATATTCAAATTAAGCAAAGATTAAAAGAACCAGCTAAAATTATGATTATAACGACGAACTTTCGTAGGTTGATTAGGGTTTTTTCCGATGACGATCGTTGAATCTGAAGACTGATAAAGCCGAAATTAATGAATTTTGCTCCCTTTTAATTGCGAAATCGAAGTTTCTTCTTAATTAAGAGAGAGAAAACATGAGTTGAGAAGAAATGATGAGAGAGAAAATTTTGAATGAGCAGAATTTATAGAAGATTGGTTTAGTTCCAGATGCTTCGATTTCGTGCACTCAATATCCACTAATTTTTGGTAATTTTTTTTTGAGATATTTTTATTGGATTACTAATTTACTTCCATTGGATAGAAAAAATATCTTGCATTTTTAGCCTTTATAATTCCAATAATATGATTTGACGTATTTAAATTAGTAACAATCTCTTAAATTAAAACTCTCGTTCTATGTAATACTGTATTTTTTATGGAATTACTAGTATGTAATTCACATATCATATTAGTATAGAGTTTAGATGTGTATGGTTATTAATGTTATAGATGTGTATGGTTTTGATTAGACTTATAAATATGTAAGTATTTTTGTGACAATTGTGATCAAAGTTCTTACATATATCAATAATTTTGTGAACAAGTAGGTCACGTACAAAAAAATTTGCAACCTTGTTAAGTTCGACTATTATATTGCTTCGACTAGCTTATAATCATGACCAACTATGCAATTCATCAACAAGTTTGGTTTATTTATGTACTACAAATATATAAGTAGGACAAGATTATGTAAAATGAAAGATTTGTCTTACACAAATATTATAAAATATTTTTTTAAGAGATATGAACATTAGTTTAAAATTGTCCAGATAAGAGAATCGGTATCTTACTATAGTGGAACTTTATCGCAAGCTATCAAGACAACATTACTAAATACAAAATATTTATCAATAAAGTACAAGTTAGATTGACGTACATGCATCACGAAAAACTTGAAATACAATCATTTTCTCCTAAGTATTTTGAAGATTAGAACTCTATGACTCATATAAGAACTCTACGACTCACATAGCAATAGGTAGTCTATGTTCCCATTATTGCCACAAAAATAAACAATTCATGTCATGAATGAAATTTTTTAAAGTGTGGTTACAATTATTCGTGCTTAAACTCAACTGGATAACGATCCAAGGGCTTAGATTCACCAAATTCAAGACTATCAGACCACTAAGATCTTGCCACGTCAATGCCGGTCTTTTTTAATATTAATTTTATTAGTGGTTTGAACACGTTAGTTTAGTTTAGAGATCATAAGTATTGAAAAAAGACCTGAGAAAGCTAAGTAACGTGGAATGCTTATCCATAACAACATCAAACAATTTGTAAACTTCAGATTTGCCGCCGTGTGTTCATCGTCACGCAATTATAAGACATGCATGGTAGTTAGCTAGTTAAATTACCAAGTACTTTGTATTATTAGATTGGTGAGTCAATTAGGCAACTAATTACGAAGTATTAATTAGTCCACATGAACCATCCCCATAGCTAAAGGACGGATCTACTACTTCGCCGTACATAAGGTACAACCGGTTGCTTAACTGTTGCTCATTGCTTGAATAATTAATTATGATTAGTTTTATTTGATCTTACGAGTATCACTTAATTATCACCTGACAAATTTTCTCAATTTGTAAGGAAGAATTTTTTGCAGAATGAGCAAGTTGTGATAAATGGTTGTAGATTGGAAAATATAATCGGTTGTAGCAAATTAATTAAAAAAAAATTAAGGTTTATCCTAAACACTTTAATTAAAAAATACTGTGTAAATTACACCGTTAATTAATTTTATTCATGGTTAATTAAACCTAATCAGAGATACATAATACCATTCAAATAAAAAATAATCGTGTTTAATAAATTACATTAATTCCAGTAAGTCAAGTTAACAAACACACCTTAAATTCATATTATGTAAAGAGATTGTTGAATATAATTATATAACAAATTGTATCTATGGTCTGTTGACTATTGGCTAGCCTAATTTGTGGACACCCTAATTTATATAGACGTGTCTTTTAACTAGGTCATGACAAGTCGATCATCACTTTTAAAAGTTGTGTTACTTTGGTGGAAGATTTATCCCAAGTGTTTATATGATTGTAACAACTTTTTAAAAGATCTAAAGTAGCACTAGAAAACAACCACCTCAAATAGAATAGATGTTAAATTATTAATTCCTATGTTATCTTCTCACTATGTGTAAGTAATTTATGCTGAGCTAGATCTAAATGATTTGTTTTGATTGTCAATTTATAATTTGACTCCATCAATCCATCTTTCTACATCAAGATTTCTTGTTTTGAGAAATGGTTTTTCCTAATTATATCAATATTTATTCTTTGATAGGGCCTAATGTCAATTTTATTAATGACCAACCAATAAAGGATTAAAATTCTAATGACAAATTTTAATGTTAGAAGCCAATTTGGAAATTTTAATAATTTATCGAGTACAATAATAATTCTATGTTGATAAAGGTTCGCTAAATTTGAATTATTTGATATGCAATCATCCATGAACCTTCATAAACACCAAAACAAAGAAGAGTTTGTACGCAATTTTAATTTTTGACCAAAGAGAAAATAGTCAATCAATATTTATTAACCAAAATATATGAGACTTGTTATAATCACAAAGAGTTTTGCCAATCATAATAATGATATTATGAATAATATTTTCCAAGTATACTCTGTAGGTTGCTAATTAATTTCATAATCATGCATTTTTCATCATTATTGTATAATACTCCGTATGAAGTAGCTAGTAGTTTTCAATTCTTCTAACCTTTCTACGTGTACTTTTTAGTTGCTACCTTTAGATTATCTTAAACATCTTTCTCTTTTTCCTATTTTGTAACCAACAATGATAACAACAAGTAAATAATTCATTAATTCAAAAGACCAATGCCTTCTAAAACCAACGTTTAGTGAACGTGTTGGATCCTAAACAAGAATTAGCTTAAAGCTTTGTGATAAGCCAAGCATCAAATATTAAGAGATACAAAGTGCAAATTCTTAGGGAAAGTAGGCCAAATTCTAATTAATTCAACTTGATGACCTTCATTATAGAAGAGATAGATTATATCGTACATTAGATTTAAGCCTTCTAGTAATAGCTCTTCATGGCAAGGAGTTAATCTGACTAGGCACGATTCACTTTACGATATCACTATCTGTCATCACAATGTCCACAACCCAACACGCATTGTGTCTACTCTATACCGGCAAAACCATGCCCAAATGCCCATAGCATTGCAAAGATTGAAGTATTTTACTCCGCATTTAACATAGAAATCATAATTAATTAAGGAATAGATCGCAAGGTACGTAGTAATGTAGTATTAAAGATTCATGTAGTTATTATTTTTTTTTTTCAAGTAAAAAGAACATTGTTATTGTCATATTGTGCAATCGACCTAAATTTGTTTAACTGTAGAAAAAATTTCCAAGCGGAAACATGATTGTGCGTCCGTGACTTCCTCGAAATAGGAAACTAAAAAGTTGGTCATCTACTTTAATTAAAGAACAAAACAAACATTATTCTTTGAATCTTTTGGTCACGGGTTTTTGTAATCACTAAATCACGACTACACACCTAACACCTTCACGTAAAAACAACTCACACTTGCAATAAAAGTATACCAAATATTTTGATTTTTGACACATTGTATACTGGTTATGTCCCTTTTTATTAGGAAAACCTATTTTTTTTAGCTAAGATGAAGGACCCTATCGAACTGTCAGCTCGGCTCCACAGATCATCGCTTGAGAGTAAAGGGGGAAGGTAAGAGAATCCCCCTACTCCCAAACATTTTGTAATTAGTGGGGCTCGAACTCATGACCTTAGAGTTACAAGGTGAATTCCCCACCAACTCCATAAGAGGAAAACTTAGGGCTGATTTAATTAAGTGAGCTGAATTGAATTGATTGGATTGGATTGAATTGAATAGAGCTGAAATGAATATTTTATGAGAGAACGAAATTAGAAACTGAACTGATTAGAGCTGAATTGCTTGAACTGAACTGAACTAAAACTAAGCTGAAAAGAATAGACACTTTGAGTAACCAAATTAAACAAATAGTGAATGTGATAAATAGTAAATTGGCAGACTGGTATGATTATTTAAAGATCAAGGCAAATTCAAATGGATAACTCAAAAAAGAGAAGTAGGGCTAAATAAATTTATAAGGATGAGGGATTACTCCTATTGATATACTTTCTCCGTTCTTTTTTACTTGACCCGCTTTGACTTCTACACTATTCACCACCCTTCCTTTGACCGTCTTTTATGAATAATATATAAGGAAAAACATATTTATGTGGGATCTTTCTGAATTCGTCTCAGTGAATACTAACATCATATATAAATTTTATAATTTTTACTTATGAGAATTAAAGTTGTTGATCGAAGTTTTGCATCGGCAAGCGTGATAAAAGAAACAGGTCAAGTAAAAAAGAATAGAAAGTACATATGATTTGGGATGAAACCTCGTTAAACTTGTAAAGCGGACTCTTTCTTCCTGACGAGTGCATCCAGACGCAATGGCGGATCTTGGCCGAAAACATTAGAGGGGCCGGAATTTAAATATTTAACCTCTTCCTCAAAACTTAATCACCATGTCCCAATATTATATAAGTAAATATAGGTTACTTTAGTTCATAAACTAATTAATTACATAATTTATGGGAGGCCAGGCCCCGAATGGCCTCGGTGGAAGATCCCCTCTGTTTAGACGGCCAGACCCTTGTAATTTACAAGTGTTTAATAAATGTTTGTTATTTGAACCTCGTTATTTGTAGAATATTAGTATTTGTGAAATGACGCAAAAACTTTAGTGCGATTGCCAATTGCCCATACATTCATACTCACATTTTCACCAACTATTCTTACGTGTGGTGGGTTTTATTTAAGGAATCCAACAACGTATGCAAATAATTATTCATCATGGAGGTTAGGTCTCACCGTCACATACACAATTAGATACAACTATACAAGTATTAAACATTTATCCACGTTTGCTTGAAAACACATGTTCCTTCTCCGACAATAATACAACTACTACAACAAACCTCGGATTACATCTGATAGAACAATGTATACTACAAGAGGGGGGGTGAATTGTAGTGTATGTAGACTATGGTAAATTTTGCGGAATTAAATCTACTACTAAGAGAAAAGACACTGAAATAGGCAATGAATAAATTCACTATGTAAAAATGATTTACAATCACTAATACGTTGCCTAGACTCAAGTTCCGTGAGGAACTCAAGTTACCCAACTGTGATCCCTCAATCACAGTTTCTCACACTTTGTGATTCTACTCCGAATCACTTGTACAGTGTAAACAACTCTCTCAAGTCTCACACTTTACAACTCTCACAACCCAAACCCAATTACACAATGATTACAAGTATTTCCTAAAGAACTTAAGAGACTAAGGATGGAAGGAACTTCTCTTTTAAACACTTTGAAACTCTATGCTCAGAATACTTAAGATTATTTTTCCACGCTTTCAAAACTTAACGTTGATCTGTTTTTATAAGGAGTTAAACCAAGCTTCCATCAAGTTCCCACTTCCCCCTTAATCCCACGTTCTCTTTGACTGAGAAGTTGGGATGTAGGCAGAGGAAATTTAGGAACATGATTTCCCTAGCTTGACTCCCAAGTTCAACGTTCTCCTTAATTTAAGCAGCCAATATTTACCAAGTTAAAAATCAGTTAAAGACTTATTCAAAAGATAATTATTATTTATTAAAAAAAGATAATTATTTATTTATTAATTAAAACATAAATAATTAATTAATTTAAAACTTATCTTTTTAAATTAATGAATTATTTATTTATTTATAAAATCTTTTTAAATCTTTTTCAAAACTAATTTTTATCACTTCCTTAAATTAAGGGTTTTTGAAAACCGTTTTAAAACTTTCGTTTAAAACTTTCTGAGTCATTCGTCAAGTTCCTTCAGGTTCAGGAACTTCAGGTTCCTTCAGGAACTTCGAGTTTCTTCTTAATTCCTTCCAACACTTTTGTTTCTTAAGTTCGTACACTGAGTAACTAAGAATATAGAGTTGTGAGGACATCTTGAAAGCTTGCATTCATCATCAAGTCTTCCAAACTCTGTTGTTCCTACTCCGGAACATTTAACTTCAAACCTGAATCTTCTGTTTTAACCAAGACTCATAAACGTCGTTAGTCAAAGTTTGTTTTATGTAGGTCAATCATCAAAATATAAGGTGGTCAATTCAACAACATCGATATTTCATCATGTGCTAGTGTAACACCACATATTCCATGTCATCGACGAATATAATAATGCACAAATAATTTTGTAGTATGAGAAGGTTTTTTACTTATTATATGCATGCATATATATATGCATGCTTTATCATTAGGCGCTTGATTAAAAAATGATGGAAATTAATTACGTATGTAGAAATTACGTTGTTAATGACACTTGAATAAGTTGATTACACAAGAACTCCGAACATAAACTTACTATGGCACTACCCAATCCAACGTTGAATTCTTACACTTTTCCAGTATTTTAAGAGACTACAAGAATCCCCAAAATATAATACTTCGTACGAAGTATAAAAAATAAGTAAGAAAAATACAAAATAGTTTTAAAATAATGGAGCATAATAAAATAAGCACATTAACTAAGAAAAGTGTTGTTATGGAGCTAAGTTATTCAAGTAGTTCCTCTGGCAAACTCCAGAGCAAGATTTAACACACCCTTCTACTTCTTTTCCACCTGCAATTGTCAATTTAAATACAATTTGGTCACAAAATAATTACTCGTACAATATAATGCATGATAATAAAAATAATTACAAAAATGTTGAAAATTATAAAATAATAATGTAGTACCCTTAAACCAAAATCATCATATTTTACAAAAAATAACTAGTAACTACAAAGTGTTTGTATTAGGAAAATGCCGCTTTACATTTTTTTAGGACAATCGGCGTTTAGGCAGGAATACCCAAGAGAGAAAAACTCAATAATCTAATATAATACATATTACTTTATAATACAGTGATCTAAAAAGCCTGATGTATATAAAAAGTTAAAAACATATATCTATGTGCGTACCTGGTTTTTTTATGGTACTAATGTTGGTGCAATGAGAAGAAGCACAACCAAGGTTGCAAAAATGGAAGGAAGTAACAAGGGTATTTTTTGAAGGGATAATACAATCCCTAAGACACTCAAAAGCACAATAAGAAAGAGTGTGAGTTGGTTGAATAGCACAAAGAATATAACATGGAATATAACATTCTTGGAAAGTTGTAGCATTGCATTTTCTTGACATTATGCTTAAACTCATTATTATGAACATTAACAATATTGTTAATGATCTAGATTTCTTGAACTTCATCATATTTAGCAAGTGATAGATGAAATTTAGCAAAAATAATTAAAGGTGTTTTGCTAGGTTTTTGGAGCACTGATTTGGAGGTTTATATATACAAGGGACAATTGGTTGAGTAGATATATAAATGCACAAGTTGTAATATATAGAGTAAAACAAGCCAACAAGATGCTAATTTTAGAGTCACATGTGAACCATTTAGTTTTGTTGCCATGTGAAATTTCTCACTCATTTTTTCCAATTATTGGATTCTATGAGTGGAATTATAAATCAGTATTCACGAGTATGGAGCAATCCATGACTCCTAGATGATCTTATGAGCAGATCATAAAATAATCCAATATCGGTTTTTTAATTAACTATTCATACCTTTCTAGGTTTCTTATCTATTGACGGAATTTTTAAAGTACCTTTATATATCGAGTGTTGCTACATTTACTTTAATCATTAATTAATGTCTATTGGATGACAATTTTGAAATACATTTTTTTTTCTAAGACATTAATCAATTACGAGTAACAATTTCAAAGACATTAATCATTAAGTTAAATGTTTCCATTTTCATTGTATTATGCAAAACACGAAACGTCTATCATATTTGTCACCTAACATATACTCGTGACTTCGGGAAAAAGTCCTTCGTGTCAAGTACAAGTGGAAAAAAAACCAATATACCACCAAGTAACTGAGTGTTATATGACTAATAGTTGGCCATTTAACGGACTTTTTTTTTTATTTTTGGAAGTTTCTTAGGCAAAAGCAAACTTACTTTTCAGTGAAATTTCTTGTCATATCATTTGACAACAGAATTGGCCAATATTCACAGGTAAAACAGTGATTCGTGGAGAAAAAGAAGTAGCATTAACCAAAAAAAGAAGCCCTGCTAGGCTGATATATAGCATATTCACTAGAAATTTCACAGCTGATTCTTTGCTCCTCATAAAAATGCTCCTCTGAGTCATTTAGCTGGCTTACATACCTAGCCTTGACCATATAAGACGACACGATTAATTCACAAAATCGAACATAATAGCATTCCTGTTGATTTGGAGGCTACAGCAAGAGTGTGATCGAAAACATCATAAATTCACAAGTTCCGGCTCATCATTTACCCAAATGGATTTCCTCCACCCATAGGATATGAACTTTGGTCTGTAGGTGCTGGATATCTATATGGAGATTGCTGATTTGAATGTAACAACACTGTTGGTCCTACATAACCACCAAAGCTATTCGTTCCTTGTATGCTGCACCACAATATTAACATGAGAAATTAATACACTAGTCGACACAATATATGGATTATTTTAGTCAACTTCATTCCCAATACGTTAAAGATCAAATACCTGGTTGATGGCTTGTTATGGTAAAAATGCTGCCCCATATATGCACCTGAAACATTCGAAGCACTTTTAAGCAAATCAAACAAGCCTGGTGCAGACAAATTGGTAAAAAAAACTTGACACGAATATGGAAGAGAAGAAACATATACTATGTGAAGAACCACCTAGAGCATAAGGTGATTGATGATGCGCACTAGAAAAATAAGCAGTAGAACCAGTTAGTGCAGAACCTGGAAGATGTGATCCAAAGCTTGTAGCATGTGACAAGCCTGCTGGAATGAATGAGTGACTCGATCCTCCTTGCATAAATCCCATTGCAGAAGACTGCATCACATTAAGCATAGCTTGTGATGGTATTGCTTTGTAATATATTTCATACAGCAAGGGGAGTAGTGTTGGACAAGTTGGTATAGCGCTAATTGTGCCTATTAGCTTCATTTCCATGCTACGAGAAATAAAAGATGGAAACAAACTCCCCCCCCCCCCCCCCCCCCTCTCCTCAATAAGGTACATCTCTAGACCCTCGGCCACTAATTATCATCTTCTAGAATTCTACTAAAAGGCTCAGTGTTAAGGTGAATTCATGTTCAAACATCAAATTCAATACAAGTTCAGTCAAGTTGCAAAACATCTTTCAAGAACTATAAGCTTTATTAGGGGTGAAAATTAAAAAAATAACTGTACCAAGTTAGTATGAGGAAGAGCATTGTTATCATTCGTGTCAAATGGGTTACTTGATTTGACCACATATTGAAACGGTGGTATTTTCTGGAATGAAAAATCCACATATAATCAGAGAGACAAGGAAAAGTTTATTTAAGACACCCAAGGATTCAAATATTCCATCAAAGTTCCTTTACAATCAAGCATTTCTAATGTAATCAAATTTTGGTAAAGTCTTCAATATTACACCCTCCATCCCAAAATAAATTTGACACTTATCATGTCACATAGTTAATAAGATAAGTTATTGTTTGATTATCAATTGTTTATTTATTGATAAAGTATATATGTGGCAGAAGATATAGGGTTTATTTTTATTTATTTTTATTAAATTTAAGAATTGGGCCATAAATTTTTAGTAATGAAAAGAAAGATTCATTAAAATAATAATAGAGCGTTTTCTAAGATTGAAGTGTATAATTAAATCCGGAACAAAAGGAATTTAATACAGTAATAATAAAACGTACCATCTGAGGAGGGTAATAATGCATGTTAAAGCCCATGCCATTATTTGAACCATCTGGCCACCCTGAGGCTGAAACTGAGCTTAATTGATAGGGAGAAGCAAAAAGTTCCTACAGAGAAGACAAATAATTTGAGAAATTCGTAATAAGGAACATATATGTAACAAGATTATATTAATGCTTACTGCAGGAAGCTCTTTCCTTCCACCAGTTTTTGTGTCTGCAAGATACGGCTTCATTTCAATCAAAGATTCTGCTTCTCCAGTTGGACCTTGAGCAGGCTGAGATGATCGTACAGTAGGATTGCCAAAAATTACTGGAGCAAATGATGCTGGGGGCAACACTGTTGGCTGCCAATTATCATAAAAAATAAGCAATGTCACTGATTCATGCATCTCAAGCTTTCATGTAACAAAGCAAGGCTTCAACCCTGTGTGCTGTGTCCTTATACATGTCTGACAACTCTGCAAGCTTCAACATGCAGACAGTTTGACACCTATCTCAGACAGTTTTTATTTATAACAGTGACTAAATGTCTTGTTGTAATAGAGAGACATCAAGGGAAAGGAGACTACTGACATTAAGGGCCAAGATCAGAGAAAGGTCAGGGGAGGTTTCCCTAGCCTCTTTCTTACCTTCTTTCTCAAATTATCATTACTTCAGTCCAAAATTTTCAACCTGATAGCAGAGTAATTATCATTTAACATTAATTGTACTTCACAAGTTTAAGGATTAAATGTGTTCGGCCTAACAGGAGAGGAACAATAGAACTCTAGCTCATTGGCACAATAATGCTTCACAGAGGCTATAGACATGCATTTCACGCAAAAACCTCTATTTGGGAGCATCTCTTGAGTCTTGACCACAAAGATTCAACATTGACATGCTAATATGTCAATTGCCAAAAAAATATGATAGTCAAATTAACCAATTTTCTCCACCACAATACAGAAATGGAGTACATTAAGTCTTACCTGATTAAATGCACCTTCATTTAAATGGCTGGTTTGAATAGGAGCAGAGAAAGTATCTGAAACCGGGGTAGGCCCAAGATGCTGTGTACTTGGAGACTGCTTTACGCCAATATCTGCAGTGGCATACACACCATCATCACCCAGTAGATCTGGGACCATCTGAGAAGTAGAGCCTTTAGGAGTATCTGCATCAGTTGATCTTGCTGGCATGCTGATGGATAAAGTATTGGATGTGGTGGTAGCAGCAGCAGAATATGAAGTGCACTCATCAGTTAAAGCTTGAGATACTGCAACATGAAAAAAAAATCCTCAGAGCCACTGAACATGATGGCAGTTCATTTGATGGTTCTAAAATATGATTACCGCTTGTGGATGGTGCTAGTACATGATTCCATATTGAACGGTTGCTTGAAGGACTTGATACATCATTTTCCTCACAGGGAATTCCAGACTGATCACTGTGGGTCATTTCAGCCCGAGAAAATAATTCAAATAGCAAGAATTCCAAGGTATTAGGATGAGCATAACCAGGAGTATTCTTTGCAGGTGGCTTCATGGCAATATTCGTTTGTGGACCAAGACTTTGGACAGAAGATCGAGAAGAAAAATCTGTAAAGACATCCAATGATCCAAAGCTTTCACTTTTGCGTTTCGGTTCAACGTGGCTGGATGGTGGTTGACTTCCAGATTCTGCAGTGTTCTAACAAACCGAACATCATGTATCAATTTGGGTAAAAGCCAGATATTTTTAAGAATATCAGCCTATATCAATACTTCAACCAATCAGGGGTATAAAGCCATATTCAAATAAAGCAGCTATGCCTTCCGTCAGATACAGGAATATTTAGCAGCAAGTAATAAGGAATTAAAGATAAGCTGCACCAGATGAACCTCTCCCAAAAAAAAAGGACAAGCAGCAACTAATATTGAACTAATGACTATAGCATGTAGAACAATAAAGGATTGATAGGTTAAGGAAATTGCATACAATAGCACCTCAACCCAAAAAATAAAGGAAGTTCCAATATATAGCCCACCTGAACATCAGCTGAAACAGATCTTTGAAGAGTTGTTTCATTATGATCTACACTTCTATGGCTTTCTTTATGATGATCACGCTCCTGCTGCACATATCATGGAGCTACTTTTAACATGAAACTAAAATCAGCAGCATTTCACAAACATGGAATCAACCATAGATTCAGCAAAGTACTCACAGCATTAGCAGTAGCAACTTTATCATATCTCCTATCAGCAAATTTAGGATGATTGGCAACACGTAAAGCAACAGAGTTTTCTCCAAGGATCTCTTTCACATGATGTAGTGTAGGGCTTTTTGCATCACTACTCAGTCGGCGATCAGGGGACCTCCTTCTGGGCTTAATGTCTTCAGTGGTAAACATCTGGGTAGCAGCCCGCCCAGAAATTCTAGTGTCATCCACTCGATAGCGACCTTCTGTACCCTCAAAACGAGACGAACCAGCCCTGAAATCACCGTATCTAGAGAATTCTCCTGAGTACTGAGGACTTCTAGATTCATCACTAGCATATCTACTATATTTGTCAATAGTTTTCACATGAGACGTAGAGCTTTCACCCTTAATTACTCTTTTATGTTCATAAGGCTCGTACATTCCACTCTGGATAAAATAGGTTCCAATGAAGACAGGTTATGAGGGAACAAAATTTTAACTCAAATTACAACATATGGAATCCCCCTTAACCCCCAAAACAAAGAGCCTGTTTTAGCAAAAACAAAGCCAAGCCAGTAAAATTATCAATGTTTCAGAACAGATTTTGTGCATAACAGTCAGAGAAGGAATCCACATTCTATGTGTTGATGTGTTATAATTTGTGTGCCACATTCTCTTATTGGTTGATAATATGCAATGTTTTTCAGATTTTGAAAAAAAGGGTGGTGAGCATTAATAGCAAGATAGGATTAAAATTCTTTTAAAACATACAAATATTGTCCCTAGACGAATAGGAATTGAATAAGATGCAGTTTAAGGGCTTACATTTCGTGACCTTTGAGCCGAAGCAGGATGGGTCTCACCGGTATACTGTTTATCCACATAGACATGCTTGATAAAATCACGAATTCTATGTATATTACTGCAACAAAACCAATGTAACAGAAAACACATAAATATTGTTTACAGCAGTACACTAGTTTAAATTCAATTCAAAATGCACTAACCTGTTTTCTGGGAGAGAATTACGCTGTGGATCCCATGTTTTGAAGTAAATCTGCCTTGCTCTCTTTAAGAATACAAGTAGGTTAGACCGTACACTTGACGATATCATAGCATACATATAATAAGTGAATGAGTACACATGTACACACCTCATTTCCTCCTGCTTGAAGAGCAGTAATTTCTTCCATGGAGAATTTGGCCATCGATACAGATTTTACACGATGAGTGAACTCACGGCTGGAAAAATAAAATCAGAAGGCCACTCATCATTTCATATCTAAGGTGCTATGATGAGATGATATTCACTGGTGTAAAAACACCCAGCAAGAGTATCATCAAAAACACAATTTATGTTAAAAAAAAAACACATAGATACTTACTGCACCCCGCTACAATTTGTACACACGTATGTCAAAAATGTCATGCAAACATATTGCGGTCCCTGATTCAAGATAAGACGTATGTTCAGGAGCCAGGCAAAGAAATACGTAACAACATTGCATTACTTCAGATACAAGCTGGTGGTGTATCATTTACTTACTACTTATACAATAACAAGCAAGACATTTGTGACATATCCTCATTAAGGGAATAAATTCATCTACAAAATAATCTTCAAGAGTCGTATACATATCTTCTTTTAACTGAAATCTTTAAATAGATTTCTTATATTATTTCTAATAAATGGCTTTTGTTCAAAAATGTTTATATTTATGAAGATTTAAAACGTCATATGCCGAATTTCATAGGAATAATATTATGAGTCTATAAAAAAAAAATAAAAAAAAAAATTCTGGGTTTATCTCAGGGTAAAAAACTGGTATCTCAGGGTAAAAGACTTGTATAAGATTATAAGCGAATACTTTAATCACAAAAGTGGTTATTAAGTTCAAGCAAAAGTGCAACACCAATTCTCTAGTATCCTAAAGAAGATTGTTGAGGGATGATTAAGATGAATTTAGATCAAATCCATCCACAAGTAGAATTTAGGTATATAGCAATTCTGGCATCAGGAATGGCTGAAAATCAGCTGTCTGCAGTACGGATAATCATTAGATTCCATCTTAAAGTAAATAAGTTACAACTTACAACCAGTACCTCCATGCATACAAATCTAAGCATAAATTTGCCTCAGAAAGTATAACCCAAATCTACAAATTTTACATTCTAATTTCTTAATGTAAAAGTTTGAGATGAACGTCATACTGCAATTGGTGTTATTTATTGGCCATAGAAGACCTATTACGTACGGGTGTATAGGGATCAGCAAGACGATCAGCAAGACCTATTTCATACGGGGTGTATAGGGATCCCAGCTCACAAGAAAACCTCGGCCATTTAGACGGGTAACTAAAGACAAATTATATGCCACATTAGCATTTTCAAAGATCAAATAACATTTAAATCTTAGTGATATCTAACTCAATGTTGTGAGAATACAGATAGGTAAAAACTAGACATTGCATAAAAGCTTTTAAACAAAACATGTAAGCCCATGATACCTCATTTCTATTCAATCAATCACTTTTACCATTTTTTAACTAACAAGTTTGAAGGAAGGGGCTAAACAAGAAGCTAAAATAGAGATATACTTCGTATATTATTTGATAAGCATTAATAACACCAATTGGCACAATTTTGTCATCAATTATGGAGTATTTTACAACGAAGAAAATATATTGGGTAAAAATTTTGCTAATGTAATCCATTAAATTCCCCCAAAAAAATTAATAACTTAATACAAAAAATTCAGACAAAATTCAAACAAATTAAGAAAAAGAATTTTGTTTTTGGGCGTTACCAAACTGTTGCAATTGATGCATCGCCGATTTTCAGGAAGTTTCAATAATCCACGAATAATCTTCTCTATCTTGTCCTCTTCCTTGGATTTCCCCATATTATTGTACAAACTCCCCTGTTATTTCCCAAAAAAAAAAAAATGCAAAATTTGATTGAAATTTCAGAATTAAACAGCAACCCATGTCAATAATCAGCATGAATATCAAAATTATTCATCTGGGAAACATAGAAAAATCCCCTAGCATTGAAACTAATGTGAATTACAATTAAAAAAAAAAAATTGCATGAAACAGGAAAAATAATTACAGCAAGATTAATCTGTGTTCTTACCAGGGGAAGGGGGATTGGAAGGCAAAAAAATGAAATAAAAAATGGGGTTGAAACTTGATAATTGATGATGATAAAGATAAGCTGAAGGTATCGCCCATTTTGCGGTGTAAGAAGCCATTTTCGGTAGCACCATTGCAGAACACTGTGCTGACGATACTCTTATATTTAGGGGATTTTTCTTGGCAGCAAGGTTTACAATTAGGGATTTGTTAAACATCGCCCACAAATTACTACATAAAGCCCACAAAATTCACTTGGTTTCCCAAAATTGCCCTTGACCTTAAAAAAAAAAACACTCACACTTTCATCACTCACACTCTTATCACTCACACTCTCATTGCTCATCTTCTTTCAACCTCTCTAAAAAAAAAAATTCAAAATAACGGCAATGTCGAGGCGGCAAGGCAAGGAAGTGGCGGCGGCGGCGGAGGGAAGGATGTCCCAAGGTGGAAAGGTATATTTTGTTTAAAAAAAAAAAAAAAAAAAGGGGAAAACCGCCGTGAACGCGGTGGGGCGCCCTGGCTGGACGCCCAGCCGGCGGTGGTGGCGCCAGATGCAGACGCCGCCACCAGTTGGCTGGCGCCTGGGCTGGACGCCACCGCCACGGTTGTGGCGTTTAGTCTAAGCGCCGCAGCCGTGGCTGTGGCGTCCAGCCCAAACGCCAGCCAACTGGTGGCGGCGTCTGCATCTGGCGCCACCACCGCCGGCTGGGCGTCCAGCCAGGGCGCCCCCCCCCCCTTTTTTTTTTTTTTAATTTTTTTAAAAAATTGTTTTTAATTTTTTTTTTTTTTTTTTTTTTTTTGTAATATAATTTTGAATTGTTTTTATATTTTGTTGTTTATTTTTATAAATTTTTTCAATTTCGTTGTATTTTTTCTACGTTTATATTTTGTTTACTATTATTTGTTTGTTTTTAGTGTATTTGATTTGCGATGATGATTATTTATCGTATAAATTTTTGTATGTTTATATATTTTAAAATTTTGTGTAGGGTCGTCATGGTGGGGGGAAGAATATAGAGCTTCTTAGTAGAAGTTATTCAGTGGAGAGGTCGGGGCATAGACATGTCAGATCCCGTGGTATTTCGGCCTCAGTTCGTAGAGAACGGATCCACCGTCGGGATGAGGATGACGATGACGATGATGATGCTGAGGAGGGTGACCAGGAGGAGGAGCAGGAGGAGGGTGCAGATGAGGATGAGGATGTGGACGATGGCAGTGGATCGTATGATGATTACGGTCCATTCAGTCAGAGGGTTGATGACATGTACGAGACGCATATGGTGGAGGTGCGTAAGGGTAGGGGTGGTAGGTTTGTTAGTAGATCTGGCACATCATCTGCGTCCACTGTCTCTGGGGCAAGCAGGAAACGGTCGAGGGCGGGTAATGATTCTTGGGTTGTTAGGAGTGAGGTGCCCGGTGGGCCTGTTGACGGGAGTGTGATTCCTAGCTTTCTAGGACACATAGCTGCCCGTATTTGGGAGGACCAGGAGAGGCCTTCAGTTACGGGGTTGTTGAAATGTCATACCCGGGAAAAGACTTGTAGTTTTTTGCGTACATGGGCTGAGGCCTGGCCGGCGGAGAGCGAGATGTTCGAGCGACTGGAGGGCACTGGGGTGAAGCACGTTCCTGCCACCATGCACGATAAGATTGACAGCACGCTGATCACGGCTTTCATTGAGCGATGGCAGCCGGATACAAACTCTTTTCACCTTCCGTTCGGTGAGATGACGATCATGTTACATGACGTCGAGGCCATTCTGGGGATTCGTGTTGAGGGTAAACGACTTTGTGCTGTGGCTAATGCGGATCAGGCAGATTCGCTGGCGGAGTTGTTGGCGGTGGACAGGGCTGCACTGTACACCGAGGCGCTAGGTGTTTGGGAACACGGAGGTGTGAAGATCGCATCTGTGTTGCAGCGGTGTTTGTACCCGAGTGCACGTAGGACGCCCGACGCACAGCTGAGTGCTTATGTTTTTCTACTCCTCGGATGTACCTTGTTTCCGGATAAGAGCGGCAGAAACAAGCTCAGGCCACGCGACATCGTAGAGGCGTGTGACCCCGACAGTGTAGGCCAGTTTTCCTGGGGATCGGCTACGTTGGCGTATTTGTATCGCCAACTAGGATTTGCGAGTCGGGCTGACGCGGCAGGTATCACTGGGTGTCTGACTCTATTGCAGACTTGGATATACGAGTATTTTCCTGCATTGCGACCACATCGTGACCCAGTTCCTATTGATGAGGGGATGTCGCGTGCTTGTGCGTGGAGTCCCCGCTCGGAGAAGAAGTCCGTTGACCGCCTCCGATCGATACGGTTATTGCTGGACAGGCTGTCCCCCTTAGAGGTAACGTTTATTTATAGAGTCTACATTTTATTATTTGCACATATTATATTCATGTTATTATATTTTATATGTTGTAATTGTACAGGTGAACTGGATGCCTTTCGGCCCGAACCCTAGTGTTAGGGTACCCAGGACCCTGTACACGGGACTCATTCAGTATCGTGACATCGTCGAAGCGTACATGCCCCAGCGTTGTCTTCGCCAACTTGGATTTGTCCAAGTTGTCCCTCCTCCCCCGGCGTGCCCGATGAAGGCGGTCCGACCTGCATCGTCGAGGGAGTACGTCGTGGAATGGCCGGATATCATGACCGGGACGTGGGACCAGTTTCCGATGGTGGCTCGATTATGGACAGCGGAGTTGCAGCGGCCGCCCTCTGGGGTTACTCCCATGTGTGACCATTACTACATGGAATGGTTCAACCGGTATTCGCACCCGAGGTTGATCGCTGATCTCGACCACAGCGATGATGATTATGTGCCACCGCCTACTGCCACGGAAGCGGTATGTCTTTTATTATATTTATCGTTGTCTTTTATTTAAGTTTTATTTGTTGTTATTGTATTTCATCTTCTGTTTTTTGTTGTATGCAGTGGATGGGAAAGATAATGCAAGACGTTCAGAAACTCTCTCTTGAGAAGGACAGCATGAGTGCAACAGGGAGAGCTGTTGTTGATAGTCTGGAACAGACCCTTGCGCAGTGGGAGTCGTCGTCGAGGAGGGATTACTGATGGTTATTGTATTTTATTTATAGAACATTATGTTGGACATTATGTTGTAAAATTGTAACATTTTAGATTGTTCTTTTAGCTTCCAACTTAAACATATTATCAGTGCTGTTTTTAAATTTTAATATAACCGTTCGTGGATCCGCGCAACTTACCCATGCAACATATAGAATGCAGTAAGCAATACAATATAAAATATTAATGTTCTCATTAAAAGAGCAATGTACAAATAAGATTACAAATAAAGAATGTAAACAAGAAAACCTAAAATGCAGCTAGGGTGTTCCATTCGTGGATCCGGTCATTATATAGCGCATCCCAACCCTCTACGCTCGCTGTGCGAATGTTGTACCACCGAGGTATAATCGGTGGCACCGGAAAATCGGTTGACATGTCTAGTCGGATGAAATGTCTGTATGACGACCCAAGAAACGCAATAGCTAGCTCTCTGACCGGTGTGGTGACAGTCTCACGCGACCGCCAAGGGAGAACCGTGGTACAAGGATAATAAGCTTGACTATGCACTCCCAGGCCGAAATGCATGACTGCGCATTTGTAAATGTTTGCAACGGCAAACAGATCTAGGGGCGCGTCAAAATAATGATTTTCGCCGCAAGGTCCACCTCCCCACCGGATACGTCGGAGAGCGCCATCCAAGTCATCCTCGTACACATGACGATAAACATTTCGGTTAGAGGCAATTTCGCTGTACATCAACTCACGCACCAAACCGTAGTTGTCTTCGCCCATTTGAAAAACATCAGCCACGACCCGGAATCCGCAGTTACCATCTCCGATTACATCATTCCACCCTTCCACGTACGACATGATGATCGCAGGTATCCTTTCCTTGTACGGAAACTGATCAACATCGTTTCTTCCTATTCACCAAATAATTAATTATAGACAGTTAAGAAGACAGGAGTAACACTTTAAAACTATGTGCAATAAAAACAACCAAAACGTACCAGTTCTCAGGGGCATATTCACAGACGATGAAGATTGACTACGACTAGATGACGATGTCCGACCACGAGAACGACCACGACCATGACCACGGATATACTCAAACGCACTCCTGTTCCGCCGCTGTCGACCTCGAGGACGGTCAACTCCTTCGGGTTCCTCATAATCTAAGTTAGACGGGTGGAACATGTCATGAAGCACATGAGTAGCGTCACGAAGAATAGAAGGATGGCTGGAGGACACTCGGTCGTACATCGAACGGAACTGCTCCAACTCTTCCTGTTCACGGTCGGCCGTTTGATTGTCTGCATGCTCACCAATAACAAGCGTCCTCCAGAATGAATGGACCTGATCAACATGTAACGACGCCCTTTCTTCTGTAATAACGCGATGAATGGTGCATGCGCAAGGTAATCCATGAGTTACTGAAATAGTACACCCACACCGAGTATACACTTCGTCAGCCAAGTCCCTCACCCTGTTCAGCTCAGTGAGAATCAACCCCAAGCAGTAGTGCGACACACGACCATGGAGAATCTTAAATATAAAATGGCTATACATCGTACCATGTCGTCGTCTGGAGTCCTCTAGAGAGTTCCTGATGTCGTTCTTCTGAGTTTCAATTGACTTGTTCAGTCTAGCGAACAGTGTATCCAAGTCATCCTCGTACACATGAAGTACCTGGTTTGTCCAATATTTGACAAACTTTTCCCTATGAGGGACCATTGATGCATCACATAGTCCACCAGTGCCGGACACCACTGATACGAATCCCTGAAGTTAGCCAATGCTCGCTCATACGCTTCCTCTGTGGTAGCCTGTAGGATCTTCCGCCACTTACCATTCACCAATCTCTCTGCCATTTCCAAATTCTTCTTGAAAAGGTTGTAGGCTTTCACTTTCACGCAGTTGTTGATGTGCCATGTGCACAATAAGTGGTTCGATTCGGGAAACAGCTCTGCTATGGGGGCAAAGAGACCTCCCTCACAGTCGCTGACGATGGCTGCTGGATGAACATTAGGCCCGATGTAGTTTCTCAGCTTCTCCAAAACCCAATAATAACTTGGAGCCGTCTCATCCCTGATGATTGCATGACCAATCAGAAAGTTCTGGTTCGTTGGAGCCATCCCAACCATCTCAACCAGAGGGAACTTGTACTTGTTTGTCTTGTACGTTGAGTCGATCAAAATCACAAATGGCCAAGACTTGATCATATCAGCACAATCAGGATGCACAAGGAAAAGATGAGTCACCTCCGCTGTATCTTCATCAGAATCAAACCAGAACAGGTAACCACGTGATTGTGCCTGGTGTAGCAGCTGCTGTATAGGGTTCCTTCCCTCTGACCGTTCAAACCTGAGTTGCTGTCTGACGTTGTAGATGTGTCTTCGGTTTGGATGGTCTTCTGGAAATTTCTCTAACACAGATGCTAATATTTTAGCAGGCTTCACTTGAGCATCACTCATTTCTTTCACAACTAGTTTCGCAGCAGGACTTAAGCCGCTCAGTTGTCGATGACCCTCTTCATATACTATCATCTCATGGTTGTGATACCCCCATTCAGAGTAACCTATCACTTCCCAACCGTCACGACTCCGTAGTTGTCGAACCTTTACTCTGAACTCACACCCACAACCTTTCCGCTTTGTGTCAAACCGAGTGGCTGTACGAAAATCTCTTTCTTCTCTTTTGCGATAACGGTCACATCTCAAAATGCGATCCATTCTACCATCCCGTTGAGATTTATGAGTTGCTACTACCAAGCAAAATCCAGCTGCAATTGCAACCTGTTTTGCCCAATCAATCGCCTGTTGAGCTTCTTCGAATGGACCATCATGTCCAAATATCTCACTGTAATCATTTCCGTCTCCACCATATTCCTGCATCAATTATATATTACAATAAATACATTTAACGGATAATACATTTAATTTCTATATTTCCACATAATTAACACAAAAAAAAACATAATTATATATAATCAAACTTAATTTTTATAAAAACCCAATTCGAATTTTCAAACTAAATTTAAAAATATACCATTTCGAATTTTCAAATTTAATTTTAAAAAAACCTATTTCGAATTTTCAAATTTAATTTACAAAAAACCCATTTCGAATTTTTTTAAAAAATCATTTTCGATTTTTTATTTTCACAAAAAAATTAAATAAAAAACAACAACAAAATCAAAAAGGAAAAAATAAAATTTAATTATTAAAGGTGGCGTCTGCCAGGGCTGCCACACCCACTGGACTGGCGCCTGGCAGGGCCGCCTCACCCAGTGGAGTGGCGTCTGCCCAGGACGCCAGTCTGGTGGTCTGGGCGTCTGGGCTGGACGCCACTCTGGTGGTCTGGGCGTCTAGCCTGGACGCCACTCTGGTGGTTCTGGCGTCCGGCTTGGACGTCCAGGCTACGGTTTGGGCGTCCACCCTAGGCGCCGTAGCCACTACGACGGTAAACCGTGAATTTTAGCGGTCACTTACCTCGTTTTCCGTCGACGACGACGTACCTCCGGCGTCCCCCGCATCTCCGGCCTGCCATCCGGTCTCCCCCGACGAGCCAATACGGCTCCACATTTTTTACACCGAGATTATCTCAATTTTAGCAAAAGGGCATAATGGTCAAATCATAACATATTTGTGGGCTTTATGTGGTAATTTGTGGGCGATGTTTAGCGTTCACTACAATTATCAATGGGAAAATTTGTCGAAAATGTCCTTTTGTTGTAAAAGTTTCCTCAACCCTTAAAAAGTTACACAAATTTTTAAATAAAACGGATGCTTTATTGAACATCCGTAATAAAGTGATAATAAAATGTGCAAAACTTACACTAAAACGCATAAAAGTTACCTGACATATATAAAAGTTATGTATGCTTCATTGATTAATCTGACAAAAGTGACACTAAATTTGAAAAAAGTGACACTAAATCTGACAAAAGTATACCCGATATACAGTAAATTACTGAAAATCGGATGTATACAAAAGTTTTCCAAAAAGTTATCCTCTCTTCTCTCTCTAATTTTTCATCTCACTTTTGTCTCTCTTGCAAGAGCTTTCTCACTCATCTCACAGCATGTGTTGCCACTTGCCAGTAAGGGCTTTGTTATCCTCTCAATACTAAGGTAAACTAATTTTTTTTTTTTTTTTCCAATTCTAAATATCTGTTCCAGAATTTGAAAAAACCTCATTTTTTAGAAAAAAAATCCCAAATTTGAAGAAATTGAGAGAAGATGAGGCCTTAGAGAAAGACGATTATGGCGTGGTTAAGAAGGTAGCCGTTTAATTGAAGGTGTTTCTTCTGGTTATCAAGTCAAAGAGCACAATTGATGAAGGACGTGGAATTTGCGCTACCAAAGCTTGTAAAAATTCCTACTTGCAATGAAATTGGAGATTGCTGCAAGTTTCTCAATCTTCTTTAACATAAAAGAGGTTTGAATATAATAGGGGTTTTGGAGTTGCATAAATATGTTTTTTTATTTGATTTTTTTTAATTTAATTTTTTTTTTCCAGAAAGATTTGATATTTAAAAGCATCTCCAATGGTAAGCAGGCTTGTAGTAGCTTGCTTTGCCAAATCAACTTTTAGAGCTACAACCTTTTTAAGCTACAAAGTACTCCAATGATAAGCTACAAGAAGTAGTAGCTTGATTTGTAATTCTTTATTTACTAAAATATAAAGTGGAAAATTAAATTTAGAAAAAAAAAAAAAAATTTTGAAAAGTGAAATATACAACATACACTACGAGTGAATGAATGTGTTATGTGTAAACCTATTATCTGTAAACTACTATTCAAAAAAAAAAAAAAAAATCTTGTAAACTATAGTTAATAAAAAAAAAAAAGTCTACAGTTATATGCTAGGATTAAGATCAGTTAATATCACCTACCTATATGTTGATAATGATGAAAATAATATTGTAATATTTATTCTTAAAGCAAAAGATAAAAAATGATATTTTTAATTAAATTTTTAAATATTTAAAATTTTCAAGCAGTGTAGCTTAACTCAACAGTATTGCTCAAGAGAGCAGGTAATTCAATAGTGCTCCAATGGTTAAGCAACAATTTTATTATTTTTCATATTTGCAAGCAAGTCCTTAAAAACACCATTGGAGATGCTCTAATGGATATGAACTTAATTAAGGAAAATTTGGGTAATCTGGGTTTAAATGGATCTGGGTAAAAAAAAAAATTAAAATTTGAGAATTCCCAGACTTGTATTTTGTCAATTGATTTTGTATCAATTTTGGTGTAAATTTTGTTAATTTTATTGAATTTTGTTGGTTGATGTATGTGATTTTGTGATTTCAGGTGGAGAAGGCTTATCCAAGGGATCTATGCAAGAAGCGAGAGGTTTGATAATTTCAGATATGCACAAAGCGGATCCACATTCTAGTGGTAGCACTAATGTCCTCGATCTTTCATCAACATACCTATCATTTTTCAGTGAAACTGAAGAAAGAAAGAAACAACTATGGTCAGGGAGGAATGAAGGTGAATGGGTTTTATTTTTGTCAAGTAGGATCCACTTTATGCTTGATGCTCGTAATTTGATTGCTTATTGTGTTGATTTTGTAACATGTAATGTGTTTTCGAGTTCGAATGTAATTTATTAATTGGCTTATTCTTATATAATTTTTGTTTTTGGTTTTTTTGGGATTTTTTGGTTGATGGGGTTGGTTAAGGAGTGCAGTATTTTGTGCAGTGATTGATTTTCTGGACTTTGTGATAGAAATGTGGATTGTTGATGGTGGTTAATTTTTAATTTGTGGGTTGATTTCTAAATTGTGCATAAAAAAATTCTTGATATTTTTGGGGATGTTGGTATGTATAAATTTTGGGTTTATTTGCTTGGATTTGGTTGATTTTTTAGTAGCTAATTAGTTTTTAGGATTTGGGTTTTGACTTGATTAGTGGAGTGGGTGTTAGATTTTTGAATTTCTGAAAAATGTTAGGTTACTTTTTTAGTGGGTGGAGGGTTTGATATCATATACATGGATTATCCCGTCTTCCCCATGCTGCCACTGTCTCCTCTCGACAATTGCCTCTCTGATATGTTAGTTTTTTGCACATTTTCTTGATTTTTAGGGTTTTGATTTGCTTTTTAATGAAATATTTTGTTGAACTTTCAGCAGGGGAAGACGATTTTCTTATAGTGATTGCCAGAAGATGTGAAATGAGAAAATTGATGCTTAGAGGGTCGGTTCTGGTTCTCTTGTCTATCTTTCTGCTGTCCTTGAGTTTCTCGCTGCTGAGGTACCAATTCCTCACTCTTTTAATTTTTCGTTGAATTTTTTAGGATTTTAATTGAGCGCATATTTAGATTTCTGGTGATTTTTCTAGATTTGTATATTGAGTATCTAAAGCTTTGAATATTTTGATGTGAATTTGAAGTCAAATTTCTGGTTCTGTGTATAATTTTTGATTTTTAGGTCTTTTTTTTGAAGTGAAATTTGTGTTTTCCTTAGTTTTGCTGCCGATCTATCAATGGATCTTGTTTTTAATTTGTGTTTGTGTGTACTTTTTGTTTATTTTGAGTGAATTTATGTATTTTATGTGTTTGTTTGGATGGATTTGAGTTTTGTTTATTCTGAAATTCCCGTTTTTTTTTTTTTTTTTTTTTTTGTGTTTTTTTGCTTTTAGCTGGAATTTTACACGATTTTTGCAGAATTTGAGACTCTATAGATCCTTCATTTTTCTTTTTTTTTGGGTTTAAAGTTATAATCAATCATCATACTATACCTGGATTATTATTAGATCCACCATTACTTTTTTTGACAACTTAACCTCTCCTTTTTTCTTCATCTTCTTCTCACCCTCTTTTACTTTTTAATATTCTTCACCAACCAACTTAATATGTTAGTTGAATTCTTACAATGGAATCTTTTATTGATTTGTCTGCCCATTTACAGAATGATAAGAGGCTCACTCACTTGCATTGTTTGGATTTCTTGCTTTTGTGAATAAAGGCATTAGGCCTATATTATAGCTTTGTGCAAAATTTGTAATCATAAAATTTCTTCAAATATATTATCATTTAATACATCTCTTATACTTTTTCTTTATGAATGTTCAATCTCTTGGGCTTTGTGCAGGTGTGGCTGCAAATCCAATTGCTGCAAAGAATGTTGACTCACCAGTTTGGTGCCTCCGAAGATCTTGGCAGAAAGAAGATTTTTCCAGCCCTTTTTGCTCTCAATTTAGAAAGCTTTCTTCCTGAGGTATTTTTTCTTTGTTAAGGATATGAATTCTATACATAAATTACTTTCATTATTGTATCAATGAGATGTGCGACAGCAATGGAAATGTATGTATAAGTGTTACATGCAACATCTGAACGCAGAGCTTCACAATCTTCGGTTATTCACAAACTAAAATGAATGATGAAGAGCTGTGGAACATGATCAGTAAAACCTTAACCTGTAGAGTAGACCAGAGGTATGTCGAACATTAACCTTCTGTTTTGCTTAGTTTTTATGATAACTTTGTATTATTAATAAACTCTAACGTCTTTTCAGGGAAAGTTTTGGTGAAAAAATGGATCATTTTTTTTTGCAAAGATGCTTTTACATTCAGGCCAATAGGACGACTTCTCAAAATTGGACTGTAAGCTTAAGGAAAAATAGGTAAAACACCTGTTGATTTAGTGATTTTCTCTAGCTGAACTCAAATGTGTATGTTATTTGGTACCTTCTAGGGTTGTGGCTGTGAACTTATTCTTGATAAATTGAGAAGGGAAAGTATCTGATTTTTAATACGATAATTACTGCTTGATTCAATGGAGTCTGCCTACTATTGGCATCTTAAAATTGTCAGTGGGGTTAAATAATGTAAGGAAATAGGTAAGCAAAAAGATCTTGACATCGAGACTGAAAAATGTCAAGAGATAGGGAAGTCTAAGAGTTTTGCTTCTCTGCTGAATATTAAGGAATAAAGAAACGAGCACTCTTTATAATTTTTCCCAAGCAATTGAGTGAAATTAACTTATTGAACTAAATTGGGCTTGATTTGATCTTTTTGGGTCAAGGGCTTGCTCTTCCTACCTTGTTTTTCAAGGGTGTCGTCCGAGAATTTGTTACTCTTCTTTCTCTTAATTTTTTGATGTAGTTCATAATTTGTCATTTGATCTGTTTCAATTTGATTTTGTTTGGGAAAATTTGGGATTAAGGTTTTGGGATCTTACAAATTTGGGTCAAATACGAATCTAGGAATTGAACTGAGTTGGGTTTGATTTGATCAGTTTTTAAACTTGAATATTGAAATTTGTTGTTTTTTTGGTTGGTTGAGAATTTGAGCTTGTGTTGTTTAATGTAATTTGGGAAGGGAATCTTGGGGTTTGCTGGAAATGGCTGTAAGGATGGTGGATTACAGAAAATAAATCTGGTGACTCAAAGAGAGAGTGTACATGTTGCTGGAGTTTGATTTGGATATGTTTTTAATTACTATTCTTATATTTTCCCTTAATGGTAATTTAATTTCAAATAGATCTCCCTTTATTCCATTATACTCACCCTTCTTCTGGGTTTATTTCACCATTTAGGGGTTAGGGTAGGAAGGATCATATACTCACTCTTCTGGGGTTTTTCATCTGATTCTTATGGAAAATACAGTATCTCTTTGATTACATCCCCTTTTACTGTTATATGAACCGACAATGAATCTATTTATGTGTTCAATTTTTTTCCCTAAAGATTTTCTTGTTGAAGTACTGGGCTTCTTTTTACTTGTATTTGAGAGTGCATTTCTTTGATATTTTGCTCATGTATCTAATGCAGATGCATAGTATATCCTAAATTAATCAATCTAATATTGTTTTGACAAGCTATACAGTAGAAGGATACAGAGAGTTAGAGACTGATTGCCAAGTAAAGCAAGCAGCTCTATTTCTGTAGTTGTGTCACTGAAACTATAAGTATTATAGCTTGAACTTATTTTGTGTACATGTCCCCTCCCCAGCTCCCCCCTCCCCAGAAGTTCTTAGTTGCATATTGTTGACATATACAAATACTTTCCTATTTACCGGACAATCATAAGCCAAGTGTTGAAGTGCTCTGCCTTTTTATTTATGTGTTAGGTATCATGTTTGTCTGTAGGTGAAATAGTCATATTGATAAGGTTTCTTTTTCGAGTAGAATAGTGTTGATGATCACAAGATTACATACTTCCCATGTCTAATGAGCGTGTGAAACCGGACCACTTGTGTTTACAGCTGATGATTACATACTTCCCATGGCTGCCTGAGCGTGTTGAAGATTATCTTTGATGGACCATTTGTGTTTATAGCTGATGATTTGATGTGTGCAATTGCAGAGTGTGTGCAACTGCAGAGATAATGGGGAAGAGCCCTTACGGAACCGTGTATAAGGCCACACTCGAGGATGGAAATCAAGTCGCGGTTAAGAGGCTTAGGGAGAAGCTTGCAAAGACTTTAAAAGAGTTTGAGATAGAGGTTGCTGCACTTTGAAGGAATTCGCCACCCGAATCATCTTCCCCTTAGGGCCTATTACTTGGGACCTAAAGGAGAGAAGATTTTGTCTAAGCTGCTGTTTTTGACTAATCTATGATTCATGTCTTCTTTTTTTGAAGTACTACGTATGTTATATGCTAGGTTATGTTTTATATGATTAAGTTGATAGTATATATAGTAAATTTATAGTCTTAATACTTCATTGTGGACTTTACTTTTCATGGTGAAACTTAATTTTGGTGATCACTCTCCTGAGATTATGACCTTATACATATAATTTGGGATATTTTATATGACTAAGGTAATGGTATATCTTGATTTTTAATAGTCTAATACTTCATTGTGAACTTTACTTTTCACATTAAACTTAATTTTGGTGATATACTTTCTTAATTCCTAAATTATGACCATATTCATATTATTTGGGATATTTTTTGCAGCTTGAGGACCAGAAATCGATCGATTGGCCAACGAGGATGATCGTGATAGGAGTAACGCATGGACTGAACTATATTCATAGCCAAGAGAGCTTAGTTCATGGAAGTCTTACTTCAACTAATGTATACCTAGATGAGCAAAATAACCCCATAATATCATATTATAGGATACACAAGCTGATGACCGACTCTGTGCACCTGAGCTTCCTAAGACTAAGAAGGCAACCACAAAAACTGACATCTACAATCTAGGGGTGATCATATTGGAGCTCTTGACAGGAAAGTCTCCTAATGAGTCAGACTTTATAGATTTGCCGCAATGGGTTGCATCAACCGTCAAGGAAGAGTGGACTAATGAGGTTTTTGATTTGGAGCTGATGAGGGATTTTTAACTACAGGGGATGAAATGCTTAACGCATTGAAATTAGCCTTACAATTGGTTGATCCTTCGTCTGATGCAAGGCTGGATTTTCAGTAGGTTCTTTAGCCGTTAGAGGAGATTAATCTGAAGCTCATTGTTGAAACTCCCGATGAATCTGCAGAGGAAAGCCATCACTGATCTGAATTCTGAAAGTTGGATTTTTTGAACTATATAAATACTTGTGATTTATTCCACTATATAAATATTTTATCAGTTTTTTATCTTGAATGTCAAAATTTGCTGTTTGTTTGGTTGGTTGAGCATTTGAGTTGTTCTATGTAATTTGGGAAGGGAATCTCGGGGTTTGCAGGAAATGACTGTAAGATTTGTGGATGAGTATAAATTTGGTGACTCAAAGAGAGTGTGCACTGTACATGGAAAATACATAGTCAGATGTCAAAGAAGCAATGGACATGAGTTTGCCAGAAGAAATAAGGTGACTGTTGCTACCCTTTACTCCTCTTAAGTTCCCTACACTGAGGAAGAGGAGAAGAGGGTAAATGTAATAATGGTCCCTGCTATTCTTTCACTTTCCAAACAAACCTTAATTTCTTCCAGATGTTTTTATATGGCGGCGCCTTTTACGTGATAATCAAAATGGGGCTAGATTGCAGCTATCAACTACATTTTATTTTTGTGTTTTATAATCTCAGTTGGCATATCAATAATATAAGGTAAAAGTTGTTTCAGTGATTGAAAGAGCTCTTTTATCAGAAGTTTAAAACGATTGTTTTATATAGTGAACTTCTCTAAATTAGCCAAATTAACTCATTTTTAGTTGAAACCTGATCCAAACGACCATTGGTTCTACATTCACTAACAATTTAGAGAAGTATCCATTAAAAAAGCATACATACTAGAAAAAAAAAAGTCACACTTCCGGCCTCACTCACTAATGACACTATATTGCTTCGCGCGCAACGTGTGCGCATGACATCCCTAGTGTAACAAAACATTGACACATGGCGGGTTGACACTTCTACCTTTGAGTTTTAATAATAATATTGATAGATTACAAATAAACCATTTATTAAAGATTTTACTAATTATTAATTTATTATTATAGATATCAGGATGTAAATTTAGTAAATATCATAAATTTTTTAATAATTGGCTTAAGTGCCAAAGTATAAACAAAAAAAGTTAATAGACTAAATATTGGTTTAAAAGAAATGGGTAAAACTATCTTTTTATGTGCTAAAATTGCAACGCAACGCACGGATTAAATTTATATTGAATTTCTAGAGTAGCAAGATGTAACTAACGCAATTTAAATAAAAACTTAAACATCAATTTTATTATATTTGAAAAAGAGTTTCAAAACAAGTGCGATAAGTAGCATTTAGAAGTAATTTTGGTCACTTGACCATGATGTTAAGAAACAAACCACCTATTAGTTAGAGATGTCAATTCGGATGATCAGAGCAGGTCAGATGAGGTCGGATCAAATTTTAAAGTTGAGGTGTGTTAAATTATTATGTCTGCACGAGTTGAAATTTAAATCAAATATTTTTCGATTTGGTTTCGAATCGGATGTGGTTTTAAACTTTTGACACATGACCTCTACTTTCTTTTTTTGATAAAATGACCTCTACTTTCAGTTATAATATTAACACTATATGTAATGCAAAATTATTGCAAATATCACTAATATAAGCTATACAATCATGAATTAGCATCACTAACAGTAGCTATTAAAATGATACGTTCGCTCATAGTCATAGAGTATCGTCATACGCATCACCTAATATGCAGTAAATAAAGCTTTCACAATAAAAAAAGTTGAAGACTTGCAACTTAATTAGATTTCACATGAATTGAGTACATGAAAGGTTTTATAAAAACAGTAGTCGAACAAGAACTGAAACTTGGCCCTTGAAAATTCTTTGCTAAATCAGTTATTAGATTTTACAAAAATTATAGAGATAAATACTACCTCTGTTTCATATTAAAGTGCAGGACTAAACCATAACGGACAACAATAGGAAGAGCGTGTAAGACCATTATTAATTTGGACATCAAAAGGTTTAAAGACTTTGTCCTTGATTTGAAAGATACCCATATCATGTCCTCCAAGTTTATCTGGCGTCCATGTATAAAAACTTATGTTATCATCGGTGAAGTATATGCAATTGGGTTGACAATCTGAATGAGCTATAGAAACCGACATAGTTGTGTTGTTTCCTACAAAAAGTGAAACATCTTCCAAATCTTCCAACTCCTCCCATCGGTTGGCACTAAAGTGAAATTTGAAGACCCTAAGTAACACCGTATTATAATTACCAATACTATTGTCTTGATCAGAGTCATAATCAAATTCGGGTACTAGTACTTCCAACTCAAGAAACCTCAAAACCATGAGAAGATCCTGACCAGAATTAACAAGATATATATTGTATATATATTGATCACGAACATTAGTCCAAAATTGTTGTAGGAACTCGAGTTTAGAGTGATACCAAGTTACCTTGGGTTGTTGTTGATCAAGGTGATATTCTGCAAGATCACCATAGACATTTACAAACAAAAGTCTACCTTGTCCATCAACAACACGATAACATCTACTATTGTAGGGACTTTATAAATCTTAACCTCGGTCCATTCAGTATCCCCTGGCTTGGCAAAGGCGATAGTTTTGGAACGATTATAAATGAGAACCACAAGTAAAGCCCCCTCCACGGTGTTATCATTGAAAATGGCTGCTCTGTTTATGAAATAATTGTCAAAGTATCTTCGCATAGGCAATGTGGTTTCACAAGGAAGATTAACTCGGGTGTTGGTAAGAGGGTTGAACAAAAACATGTTGCGAGTATCATCGTGACTTAATATCCAACCATGACTTGAACCCCAACAACTCCTTCCGTATCCTTGAGGGAATTTAACATTGTACTTCTTGTCAAACCTTGATAAATTCAACACGCTTCTTCTTCTTCTTCTTTTACTCTTTCTTTTTCGTTTTTCAAGGTTAGTTAACCTTGCGTAGGGGCCATCCTTGTTCAAGATCTCTTCATTGCCATCCGTTAGAAAAAGCCATGGCATTTGACGACAACGCCAATTGTGTCTCAATCTCTCCCTATCACAACCAACTATGGCGGCTTTACGCCAACTACGACACACACCAGACACTGCCTCATAGTCTTCTACTGATACCAAGTAATTTTCAATGATTTCTACCAGCAATTCTGAAGGTAGGTTTGCCCAATCAACACTTGTTTTACTTTTTTTTCCTGAAAATCATCGGTATCAATAATTACAATAATTAATCCAAATTCCTACATCTATATACATGGGCGGATCTAAGGGGGTTTCAAGGGGATTCATTGAACCCCCAGATTTTTTGAAAAAAATTATAAGTTTTGATTAAAAAAAAAAAAAAAGTTAAAACAAATTTTTGTGAAGTAAATAAACAAATATGTAACTCTGGCACATTGGTAAGGGAGTGACTAATAGAGTAGTGAGGCTCCTCTTGATCTTGGGTTCGAGGCCAACCACCCTCATATCAAATTTGTGTTTATTCGGGACTTGGGATTTTTTTGCAATATAATTACAAAACTTCAGTATTATTTATTTGCAACCATTAAACACTTTTTTGACAAAAAAAAAAATGTTTAAAGAGGTTATAAAATGAAGCTTTATGATCCTACTATTGATTACTCAATAAAAATAAAAATTAAGAAAGAATCAATTTTGATTTAGAATTTCTAAATAAAAAAATATTAATTCAAGACTCTCAATTAAAATTTCTGAATAAGGTTCTTGAGTTCTTCTCTTTTCACTTTGGTTTTATTTTAATTTAGATTTGTTGTTAATTAAGTTATGATCACAAGATTCACAACCCAATGAAACCAAATTAGAATTGACAAAATAATAATTTAATAAAAAAAATACCTGAGGTTGAAATCATCTTGCTCTTGTCGATTCAATAAAATATCACCAGTCAAAAGCTTTCTTTGTTTGAGTTTTATCGATGATATTGACCCATATTTATAGACTACTAAACATAACCCAAACCTAATACTGTAAATCGAATGATGATTCAAATTATGAAGCAATAGTGGTATAAGTACTGTAAATCGAATGATGATTCAAATTATGAAGCATTAATGGTATAAGTACATACTGTAAATCGCATAATAAGACATGGTAATTTTGCAGATTTCTTCGCAGATTTCGAACACGGATTGAACAAAGTACGGAATAATTCGGCCAATTCGAACACTGAAGGAGCAAAGAGGAAGATTTGAAGTCGAAATCGTAAAAAAAAAACTGTAATTTCAGAGAGAAAGCTAGGGTTTATTAAAAAAAAAAAAATTACTCGTAAGACATGGTGAAAGGTTGAAGAAAGAGAAGAGAGGAACTTTCTGGATCATATAGGGACGTAAAAATCAAAGTATATTGAGAAAGAATTTATTTAGTGAAGTTGAATTAATAATAAACAATCTAAATAGAATCCTAGGATAAATTAGGTAATTTTAATGGAATAATAAGGGCAAATTAGGAAAATAAAATAAAATAAATAAGGAATAGATTCAATATGGGTAGATCATTTTGAAACGCCCAAAATAGTATATGGGACTAACATTACGAAACGGAGGGAATAGAATTCTACCACTTATCACTTTCCTAAACCTACCCAAAATCAAATTACCATAAATAATAAATCAATCTAATATAATAACTTTCCTAAACCTACCCAAAATCAAATTACCATAAATAATAAATCTATCTAATATAATAACATTCCTAACCTACCCAAAATCAAATTACCACAAATAATAAATCTATCTAATATAATAACTTTCCTAAACATACCCAAAATCAAATTACCATAAATCTAATTTGTAAGACGGTTAGTTTGAGGGTAACTTTAACTATTTATAGTAACTTTAACGAGTGATTTTTAATTTGTACTATAAATTAATTGGTTAATTTTAATATTATCACCCAAAAATATAATCATTTTCGAATAAACCACCCATTTAATTTTTTATTTTAAATTACCACCCTTAAATTAAATAAATGCTCAGATTACCACTAATTTCAAAAATTAGATGGATTTTCCGTCTGTAGGCCCCACCTAACGCTTATTTTGACTCTTTTGATTGATTTTTTCCCCGATTTTTCTCTTTAAAAACATTCCTTAAACTTTAATTCAAAGTATAGAATGCTGATATATAGGCATGGAAGTTCCAAATTAAAAATGGGAAATACAGTTTACTCTTTTAGGCTCATCATTCTATAGGTAAGCATATTTGTTGCATAGACACACAGAACACACCATCAAAATATCTAGATATTAAAGATTAAATCATGAATGACAAAACAATACATCATCGACCCCTTAGTTTAGTTTGACTTTTCCATCTCATGATCTCATCTTAGTGCGCATTCTCTACAATGGATTTTCTGTCGTTTACAATATTTTATTGGGTTTTTAATGAATTGTTTTTGGGTTAATTGCTTAACCTTTATATATATATATATATATATATATATATATATATATATATATATATAAAACACCATTATGAGGTGATTAAAGTTAGTAAATCATCGCACTGAAAAATTAAAAGATTAAAGGAGAGAGACAAGCATAGAGGATATCAAAGAAGGGAGAATCAATCAATCTGCCAAAAATAAAGAGAGAAGCAGAAACTGATATAAATATCTATCAACCCTATGCTGCTTCTCATCCTCTTAAATTTTAATACCAAGTATATTGTTTTACTGCCAATCTATTTCACTACTTTATAAAAAGTGGAAAGTTGTTCTTATAAACAGTGGTTAGACCTTTATACCCTTAAAATTGTTTATTTACCTTATTACCCCCACAATAATTTACATCTTCTCCCTTCAGCTTTCTCTCTCCTCTTCATGTGTCTTCATCTCTATTCAAATTGCCGAACAGAAGTATTAAGTGCTGAATTTTAATTTTACAATCAATCAATTCAAGAAAAATTGATACCAACAATTGGCCAAGAGAAGCTCATATAAGCTCCATTGAAGTGCTGAATTTTACAATTCTATCAAAGTTGATACCTATCAATTATAAGGTCCATTCAAATTGGGTCCTTGAGAAGTTGATACAAGAAATGACATTAAAAAAGCATTTTGTGGTCCATCGGCTGGTGACGACCACGTTGAGGATGGGGGTAGGACAGCACAGCCGCCTGTCGAGGGGGAGGCGGTGGAAGACGACGGCCGGACTTTATGGGAGGTGGGTCACCGGTGCCTCCGGCAACTCTTTCTCTCTCCTCTCTATACAGTGCAAAAATACAAGGTTTGTACTCCTGCACTAACATAAAAATGGATAGGAAAAAAGGGTTTTTTGATTGTTGTTTATTTGATGGTTATTTTTGTAATAGTATAAATTGATTGACTAAATCAGTGATTTTTCTAGCTGGGAAATTCATAAAGCAAAATTGATATGTGGTTCATATTTGTGTATATCAATGGCATGTTTGTGAATTAGGGTCTGTTCATATTTACTTAATTTCAATTCAGTTCAGTTCAGTTCAGCTCCAATCAGTTCAGTTCAGTTCAGCTCCAATCAGTTTAGTTCAGTTCAGTTCCAATCAGTTCAGTTTAGTTCAGTTCAATTCAGCTCTTAATTTCCATCTCTCATAAAATATTCATTTCAGCTCAATTCAGTTCAGTTCAGTTCAGCTCCAATCAGTTCAGTTCAGTAAATGTGAACAGGCCCTTAGTGTGAATCTTTTGTTCAATTTTTATGTGTAAAAGTACATCATTTGGTTTCATAAGCGTATAACATATGGTTTCAAACTTTCAATACATCTACTCGTAATTGTTCTATTTTCCCTTGATGAATTTAAATGAATTTCACAACATGCCCTTAAATATTCAGCGAGTTTATCAAAATTACTTCATCTTATTCTTTGTATAGAATTGATATGTTACCGGATGCACTTTTTAAGCTAATGGGGGTTTGTTGAATTATTGGGTTTTTTTTTTTAATTTTGTTTTGTTATTCCTTATAAAGAACCGCTTTTAAGTTGACAAATGAATTACCTTGACTCTTAGTGCTTCAATATGATGCTATATAGTGTGGCAAATAAGGGTATTAATGATCACTTTTTCGCCATTAATTTCCGGGACGATAATCATGGAAGGTCAGTTTTAGTCATATTTAAATTTTATTGTAGCAGTAATTCTTAATAAGAAATGCTATAAAAGCCACTTAAAATTAACAAGTGTTATATGTGAGATTAATTTGATCGTGTTCTTTCTTATTTTTTCATGACGAGCGTAGAGGAAAACTAATAGAAGGAGATATAAATGACAATTAAATAAGATATCGTTAGTGTTACTAATGAACAGTCTTCCTCTCCTGTTTAGTGAATACAAGTCAACGATATTGTTAACAATGTGTAGAAATTTATGTTGAAGTGGTTTTGTTGAAAGTAACGAGTTTTAGTGCATCCACAATAGAACAAACCTTTAAGAGGTTTGTTCACTTGACACGTCATCATCAAACAAACGTCTTTCCTAACAAACCTTTCATCAACAATAGATAAACCTATTTACAGGTTTATGTAGGTGTAGGGAATAAATTTCAAGCTTTAATCCCACTAGCTTGAACCCCATTGTGATCATACACTAAAATACGGTGGCGTCCAAAAGGGAAGAAGATAAAGCAAAAGAGTCGCCAACAAGTTTTTTAGGAACTTGTAAACCGTTCACGAGGTGAAGGTTACACCCCTTAACGATCCAAGAGATCGTCAATTCCATAAGGTCTAAAACCAAATAAGGGTTCGGGGATGAAGGTACAAATCCAACCTAAAAGAGATTGAACCCGCCCTAATAATAGGCCTCTACTTTATTCTGATCGTATTCATGTGCGCTTTTTAATTAACATACAATCAATAGGTTTAACCCTAAACCTGTTTATCTATGTTGGTTGAACATTAATGCACAAATAAACTATTATTGGCGATCACTTGAAGTTATAATCAAAGTTAACCTAACAAGATTATTAATTATCTTATTAAGCGTGATGACAAGTACCAATTCCCTTTAAACATGCAATAAAAGGTGTGATCAAGCAATAAATAATAAATACCAAGCAACATAATAATCATAATAATAAAATTATAATCATAACAATAAACATCATAATAACAATCATGTTAATCATCATAATAAATAATCAATCATTGGAATAAACATGAATAATAATAATATCAATCATAATTAATAATAATAATAATCATGTTAAAGCATAGCAAGATCTTAGGCATGATACTAACAAGATTAATAACAAACCCTAGCATGTCACTAAGCAATAAAAATCAAATCTTTAACCCTAACATGATACTAACATGAATAAATATTAGGAAGAACATAGGAAGCATCGCAGGAATCATAATAAACATATTTGATATTATAACCTTTCCCCTAAACATGATACTAGGAATCATAATAACAATTTAAACATGATTTCTACATCATAATATCAATTAAATCCATTAAAAGTACTTACTTTAATGCCTCGTACCTCTTTCTAATAACAAAATACACGCGTTAGTAACTTCAAGGAAAATAATAATTAAAACAATTAAATTAAATAATTGAAATAGAGATTTGGGACCAAACCCTCAGAAAATAGAGTTGGCGCCACCCTTGGCTAACTGGCGCCAGGCCTGGTTCCAGACGCCAAGGCCTGGGATTAGGCGCCAAGCCTGATTTTAACGCGTTTTCTAAAATCAGATAAATTTGCCGTATTGGAGGATAAAATCATATAATTTCCTCGAAAATGCTATTTGATTTTAATTAAAACTCTTAAAAGTCAAAAGTTAATTTATCAATGCTAATTGAATTAGGAATGAAAAAGAACCTTCTAGAAGATTCTAGAAGACTAAAACCATTCCTAATTGCATTGGGAATGATAAATCACATTAGGCCCTCCCCTAGATCATTGGGCCGCATATAAGGCTCAAATTGGGCCCAGTTTAGTAAATTGGCCATAATTTCCTCAATATTCATCGAAATTGGGCTTATAATTTATCGTTGGAAAGCTCTTGTCAAGCCCCATCCGACTACACTATTATTGGACCCATTTCATGGACCATCCAAACTGGATTGACTGTTTTCTTAAAATAAGTTTTCAAAAACAGAGAGAAGAGAAAAGAATTAAAACTTTCCGCAACACTAGACTTTCCACACTTTCACTTCATTCGATTATGATTCGACGCGAAAGGTACTCATCACTGGGTTTGGTTTTGGGGAGACACAAATGGGTGTCTACAGAAGCCCCCATTTTGACTGAGTTTGGAGAAACGCAAGTTTCGAAAACAAAAGTCAAAGTATCGATAGGGACGGAGAATGATTCAGAACGTTCTGCGATCCTAAATCACTCTTGTAACGCCGATACCTGCAAACTAGCGTTAGTTAAACAGATAAAAGAGTTAAGAAACGCGTATCTTGCACCGTCGAGCACACGTCTCTGAAAGTAACCGATTTGCTGCCGCTTTAATGTATCCTTACTTTGATGACCTCCTACAAGCTAGAGAATGCCATCCCGCTTGAAAACCGCTACGCCTGTAACTGCTTCCAAATTAGAAGATTGTTTCGCCTGAAACGATCCTCCTCCGCATTGATAATATTCCACGTCCAAGGGAATATCATCGAAGATTATTTCTCTTGAAACAATCCTCATCCGCATTGATAATATTCCACGTCTAAGGGAATACTATCGAAGATAACTTCGCCCGAAATTACCTCCAGTTGTTCGTGACAACTCTCCGCAAGTTAGGGAATGCTGTCGAAGATATCTTCTCTTGAAATCATCCTCATTTGATGCGATAATTTTCCAAAGGAAATTACCGAAGATCCACGCTTGTCGATCTTTAAAAGTTCGCCTGAACTTTGC